AATACCCTGTGGTATTTGCATGCAAAGTGCCTGTAACCTCAATCAATGGACTTTACAGGCTAGTTCTGTGAAAGTTGGGGCAAAAGCCCTGTGACTGTCAGGCAGTGTTTTAGCCTCTCTACAAAAGCTGTCCCTGTGGGGTGCAGTGCAACCGTGCTCTGGGATTTGACAGATACAGGGGCGATTCTGGTGAACAATGTTTTCATATCAGTTTTACAGCTGGCTTCAAGGATATGGATGCCTAGTAGGACTGGGATTTCACTAGGATGTGTAGATGGCAGGTTTTGGAGGCTCCTTAATTCTGCAGATACCTAATTAACCATTACAACTTGGCTGTTTTTGAAGAAACCAATAGCTCAGCAGTGCTTTCATGAGGCTAGTTTTGTTGTTTTGAACGTGCTATGGAGCGATCAAGTAGTAGATGTACTGTTGTGTGCAGAGTCATTCATATGTATTAAATCAGTAGGCATAAACCTTTAATTGTACTTAGGGATCCTGATGAGATGGCATTCATTTTTTTTATTTAATTTTTGATAGCTATTCCATTTTGTCGCAGCTTTAGTGTCATATTATGTCTGTTGCTTTATAATCTGATAAGGTTCCCCTTAGACTCAGATAGTAACCATTTAATTTTATCTTTTTGTAAGGCAGCTTTTTCTGCCTGTTTAGAAAAAAAATAAATCCATTAATTGTTCAAAAGCACATAACTACCTACATAACCAGGAAAACAGTACATTTCCAGATTATTTTTTTTCTTTTAAAATAGAACATAAACATCTGAAAGGCAAGAAAAATGCTTAATATCTGCTGTGCCTCTTGCTTTTCAGTCCTTCCCTTCCACTCTGTTCTATTAAACTTCTACACTGTTGTTTGGTACATTAATCTTCCACTAAAATGCAGTAAAAATGGCTTTTGACAGCGTGACCTCCTCCTTTCTAGAAAAAGAGTGTGGCAGTTGCTTTTCAGAGGGAGTGGTGTCAGAAGGAAGGAGACAGTGATAACTTCCCTCTTACATTTTTACTTTCATTTTGATGGCCTGATGTTTGTGGGTTGTGCATGTTGTGGATGTTGTTTGTGCCAGCTCAGGAGCCATGAGGTGCTGCACCACACCAGCTGTAAAGGCTGCTCAGCAATCCACAGCCTCCCTGCCTCTTGGGGAGTCGAGTCAGCCCAGACAGTTCATCTTGGTAGGAACAAAGTAGAGCTCTCGTGCAGATGATGTCATCTGGATTGCTGCAGCAGGGTGTTTGAAGGTCCAGACTTGCATCTGTATCAACCTGATACCATTATTTAAGTTACAAATTCACAGATTCACTTAAAAACGTTTCACTGTTGGAGTTTTGCAATATAGTAGAGGCTGTGTTCATGGAATGATGAGTGATTAAAGAATAATTAAAGGAAGTAAGAGTTTTTTAGTGTGTCATTCAATTACATTTAGAGTAATTCAGGATAAGCATTAACTGTCTTTTCTTTGAGCTAAATATCAAGTCTGTCTTTGGTTACTGAGAATAAACTTTGAACCTTTTATAGGTCACATAAAATAAAGCAATTCCTATTTCCTTAAGGTCTTGCCAACATTTTGAAGTGCTGCATTTTTTCTGGGCTCATGTCATGCATCATAGTTATTCGTATTAATCACAGTGGCTCAAAGAGGCTGGATGCAGTTAAGTCCATAATAACGAGCTGTCTGCCTGTAGAAAACTGGGAGCATGAGTACACTTTTCACCTTCCAGGCAGAAATGGGATGTCCTTTTCAGACTGTGGAAGCCATTTCTGTCATCAGTTTGCAAACCTCCTTGTGAAAGAAGTAATACGAATTTTGCCATCATACTTGTACCACTCAATTTTAAACATTAAGTCAAGTTGTAACGAGACAATCTTATTCTTGTTGTCTCAGGCTCTGATTGAGCAAAGTACATTTCCTGGGCCAAAGGCCTTACACATGGCCTATTTTTGCAGAGCTTTATACCATCAAGTCGTCCAACTGAAGTTTTCTTCACCAAGGAAAAAAAAATCATTGAGAGTGTGCCCTTTGCAGGAGCACACCTGGGTTAGCAAAAATATGAAATCAACATAGCTAGTGAATCATACCCCAGCAGTATCTGAGATGGAGTTTTGATCTATGAGCCACCACTACACCTCTTCAAAGAGCCACAGTTGTCAGATTTTGACTCCATGAAATGTGAGAGGTGGGACTAAAACAGTCTTTGTCAAGAACGTGTTGTTATGGATGATCTCTCAGAGTAAAAACAGGCAAATATGGAGTGGTTGTATTTAGGAAAGGATGTAAGTCTTGTATTTTAAGGGAGCTACTTTGCTTCATGACCCTTTCTCTTAAAAAGCAAATTGTCTCCAAACATGTATGACTGGGGACATAGATCTCCAAGAGACATACCAGAGATTTCAATGAAATGCTTTTCAGGGTTGCCACCCACCTCTCCATGTGAGCTCCATCGTGCAGTGCTCCGTGGAGAGCTGGTGGGCAGCTGCCAAGGGGAGGCTATTTTGGTGCTGGGTAGTCGTAGTACTTAGTGGTGTAGTAACATGTGGTGCTGAGATGCACCTTCAGGAGAGAGGTGTGGGTGGGAGAGAGGCTGCCCTGTCCCACCTCTGGAGCTGCTCCCTTCTGTCTTGGTCCGCAATATGGTCGAGCTAAGGTGGCTGTAAGACCTGTGCTTTTGTTTCCTGTTTTCAGATGTTCACAATTATCTGTAGTGTTAACAACTGCAAATGGATTTAAAGAGTAAATAATGCTTCACATACAATGTGAGGTACATAGACAATTATTTTTATCTTCCTGTTTCTTCTCTGCTTCCATAATTGCATAGTCAAACATTTATGCAACTGTTGAAGTCCATGATAAAATACATGCACATGGCCACACCCAGGTATCTGTTGTAGGTGGCCTGCAACCTCCAGTATGCTGTGGTCTTGTAAATAGCCCTTGCAAATAAAGGGGTTTTAAACCAACTTTGATGTTTGAAAAACATTTCTAAATTGATCCAAACACCAGCTCTGAGTAGCAAGGAAAATGTGGTTTTGAGCAATGTGTGATTGTCCTTACACAGAAGTGAGAATATGGTTCATTTTCCCTTCTTGAAACTGAGAATTGACAAAAGGACTTTTAATCAAATGAAAATACTCTGCCAAAAAGTAGAATTACTCAGTAAAGAAAAAGCACATCAGTACAGGGCATGTAATGTTGTAGTGGAAAATTAATACTGGTTCTTTTAAGAGCTAGAATCTGTTTAGGTTTATTTGGGGTATTTAAAACTATATTTGCTTTCAAGGTGTTTTAACAATTCTCTGTAGTGTATGGGATTCAGAAAGTAAAACCAGCCAATTCCTTATCAGTGTGTTGGAGCCCATTTAGCTTTATCACACTTCTTTTAGATAATGTATTTGTAAACAGGTAAAGAGAAATTACAAACAATAGAAGAACATGGTTTAGACTGATTTCAGGAGAGGTTTTTTTTTTTCTTTGTGCGTTTAATAGCATTTTGGTCTTGATGCAGAACTTACTGAAGTTGGTATGAGCTATTACACTTACTCCCATTTTTTTGGATTGTACTCCAAAAAATGTTTGTCTTCACTGCATTTTCCTACCTGGCTTGGTTGTTTGTTTTTTGGTGGTTTTTTTTTAGAGAAGTCCCAAAACTTGAAAGATGTGTGGGCAAAACAGTTGCAGGGTTTTTAAAAGACTTAGCTACATTTTAAGATGATGCCACTTTCTTTTATCATTCCAAGCATGTAACTTTTGCTTTGAACAGCACTGATTAAACAATATTGTAAATAAAAATTTTAACTCCTTATTAATTATATATATAAGAGGTAGTATGTGATTTTATTACTGCCTTCAGCTTTATACTTGAAGATCAGATGCTGCCTCTGTTGCATGTGTTATGCATAACTTTCTCTGAACAACTGTGTCTAACTATGTATATAGCTTTCTCCTGAGTGTCTCCAAACTACAAACATCTCATCTCCAGAGTGCCCTGTGGAATAACAGGACATTTATTTCTCTTTTACAAACGTGGAAACCAATGCAGCAAGGTCATGTGTCAGGGTGATAACAGAGTAAGGAAGGAAAGACAGATGGAAATTTATACTGCAGTCTTCTAACCTTTAGTTACATTCCTCCTGTGCTCCTGTAATTATATTACTTGACAAAATTAAGGGGTGGAGGATAAGAAAAGGAATTAGTCTATTTACTGTCTGTCTGGACTCTTCAGTATTATTTTGAAATAAATATCTGGACTATATCCTTTTACTTCATAAAGTATTTTTTGTCCCTTTGGAGTTGCTTGAGCCCATCTTTAATGCAGTATTAACTTTGGATCTCTGCTGTTTGAAAGTATTTAGTAGCTCATTCACTTTTTTTAACAGTAAGTTTATACTGTAGTTGTGTCTGCCTCTGTACCTGTGAGGCAGTTAGATCTTTATTATTATGGGTTTTGACAGTTGCCAGGGAGAAAAAAAAGCAACCCCACACATACCCTTAGATTGTGAATGTTCAATCTCTTACTACTCCTGATGCACTAGATACAAAAACCCTAAAAAGCCTGACCTGTGAGTATATTATTTCATTCTGTATGTACTGTTTAATTCTATGATGTAGTATGAAAAAAAGGCTGTTTGTAGGTAAGTCTGATGTGGAGTTGATTAATTTGGAGTAGCACATGAAATCGTAAATGCTTCTAGAATAAGAAAAGCAATTTATTTTATAAGTGGAACTTGTCTTGAGAATATAGCCCAGACAAGTCCTCTGCTAAGGTAGACTTGTTTCTCCATGATCTTTGCAGTCATGCCTGTGTGAAGAAAAGGATTGCCTGGTTTTTCCCCATCTACCCCTTTTTCAGTTGTCAGTTACTACTGTGGAACCCAAGTCAGTGGCAGGAGAAGCTCAAGATGTAGCCCAGGTGCACTGCAGTAATTTACCACATTTTTAGTTTTGAAAGTGAATTCCTGCAAAGGCTTCACGTGTCAGTTCAAAGAGGAAGATGTCCCGAATAATTTTTCTGGTAGTTCTTTAGTGTCCTCTGCCCCATTTAATTCCCTCTCTCGTGTGGTGGGCATGAGAGAAAATGGGGAGCAATTTGCATATTTGTTCTAAACTTTGCTTTGCTTTCCTACAAAGTTTTTCAATTTTGTAATGATCTCTGTACTGGATTCTTGCATTTCTTAATTCAGCATCCAGTTTTTTAACCTGAATCTAGTTATAACGTTTAGGTGTTTTAATTTTCTAATTATGTGAAGCCATGCTTTTCTACTTTGCTTTATTAGTTTAATAACATACCTGCATTATAGAGTCATAGTCCTTCCTCTTTCTGTGTCTGGGCAGTTCTTTGGGCCAGCAGCAGTATGATGCTGTCATCTGAAATGGTGATAAAAACTGCAGGGAAGCTGCACACCCCCTGGGACGTGGGGGGGGAGGGATTTCTGTCGTGTGTATAGTGTAGTGTTTCTAGTATTTCCTAGAAAATTGTCTAAACCTTTTTTCCTTTCCTTGTTTTAGAGTGAAGACACTTGTGGTGCATGTTTATTCATGTTTAAATACCTACTGTTTAATTTGATTATTCTGTTCCCAATGTTTGATGCCTTACATCTAGTGTGGAATGGGATTTATCCCTTTTCCATGCTATGGAGTAGTGGTTTGCCAGGACTCCACAGTTCTGTAGTTGCAGGGAGGGAGCTGCTCAAGATGCTGTTCTGAGTGAGCTGCTCCTCTGACCCTGTCAGGCAGGCAGGTACCAGCAAGACTCTGCCCTGCTGCTGTGGGCACCCAGTGTTCAGAGCCAGCTCAAAGGGACTGTGTGGATTTGCAGTTTCAGTGATGGTAAAGGATCTCTTATAACTGTGATCATAAAGGTTATTATATTTTTAATATTTTTGGTTGTTCTGTATCCTTAAAAATGTGCTTGAAGGGATTATTTTTGTGTGGTTTTTGTATGTTCTCCTGCTTTAAGGAAATAGGGTAAAATAGAGTAATCCGCTTACCCTTTAAAAAAAAATAAAAAACCCAAACTGTCTGTGATGTTGCATAAATCCAGCAGCAGTAGAATTTGGGGATTAATCCACAGGTCTGGACTAGTTAGTTTTAGTGTCATGAAGACTTCGTTGGACATCAATTCAATATCTCAAGACTCCAAAGTTGTATATCCCGAGTGTGCATTGCTTTTGTAGGTGCACTGGTCGGGACTGTAAATGTTCACCTTCTGATGTGTGGCTGTTGTGTGATATTTTTTTAATGTGCTTTTGGAAATCTTGTTTTCCCTTTGGGTTTGCATTTTATCATGATGCAAAGTTTATGCAAGAGATTACTGCATGTATTAAATCTCTGGCAGTCAGACGGAGGGAGGTTTGATCTAAGATGAACACAGAGCTATTTTAGGAAAAAAAACAACAAACCAAAACCTGGACAGGACAGCACTTGTACAGGGGGGGGAATTATTTATTTATTTTCAGTGTACAGTGCCTTTGCTTGTAGTTGGTGTTTTTATCAGAATCATATACTGTCTCATTTTGCAAATCCACGAGCACCCTGTGAAGCACTGTGTGTTGGCAGAAGGCACCAGTGTTGCTGTGTAAGCAACATTTTTCCTAACCTGTGTAGACACACAGGCATGTGCTTCAGTTCTGAAAGCACTGGGAGAGGTTTGTGTTTGACTGTGGATGACTTCTGAATTTGAAGTCAGTTAAATTCTTTCTAAAGGTAAAACTGGATTCAACAGCAAAGGGCTGTAATTGTTACGGAAAAAAAGTGGAACCTTGGGTTGTTTCTTTTTTGGTCTTATGAAGCACTTCAGAAACATCTGCTATTCTAGAGCTTATACATCATTTCAAATATAAAAATGCCTAAATACTTGCTTTGGTGGTAGCTGGATTGCTAGCTGATCAGAACTGATTTGAATGGTGGTTGATGCAGAAAGAAACCTTATTAGAAAGTGATACAGCTATAAAGAGAGGTATCTTAATATATACTGCTAACTTTGAGGTGCAAAACAGAGATAAAGCTGTATCTTCTCAAGTTATTGGCCTAAATAAGGCTAGTTTAGCTTAGATTGATAATGTATTGGATTTGCATCAATTTCAGTTGGTAAAGCAGGAATCTGTTAGTTTTCATTTGAAATAACTGAGTTGCTCATTGTGTTTCTCTGTGTTTAAACCTGTTCTAAAATAATTCTTTCAAATCACTATTTTCCTTCAGTTAAGTCGCTTTGTTTCTGTGCTTCATGGAGTTATCAGTAGTCTGTTACCAAGGCACTGATTTGCATTTGAGCTATAAAAACATCTTTTTACTCAATTTTTAAATACGTCTGCTTCATTGGGTCTGTAGTGATGTCAACAATGAGGCATTTTTGTATTTTCCTGACATACCAAAAAAATAACATTTTTTTATACCTTGTCTCAGAGAATTTTACTTCTCACAGGTGCCAAATCTTTTCTTATGGGTGTGGGTTGCCACCACTAAAACCTCAACCTTCTATAACATTAAAGAAACCCACAATAACCTCTAAGCATTTTGAAAAATAAACTTGAGCATCCTGCTTAATACTGTTACTCACTTACACTTCTGTTTTGCTTGCTTTTCAGGAGCTTGAAGAAATCCGCAAATGTGGAATGAAAAACTTCCGTAATATCCAGGTTGATGAAGCTAATTTATTGACCTGGCAAGGGCTTATTGTTCCTGTGAGTATAGACTACTCCTTATTCTAATGGACTTTAAAATAGAATGAGGATCATTTGAATCTCATAAATCCATGGTTCAGC